GCGAAAGGAGGGAGTGGGAGGAGGGGAGGGGGAGGAGGGGAAGGGAGGCAGGGGGGGGAGAGGGGGGGGGGGGCCGGGGGAAAGCAATGGGGAGGGGGCCGGCCCCACTGTGGCCTTCTCGCCGCCACCCTGGGTGCGGCGGTGGCGGGGCAGGTGGGAGCTGCGGCTGAAGCATTTGCTGCAGAGGCTGCACTGGTAGGGCTTCTCCCCAGTATGGGTGCGGTGGTGGATGGTCAGCTCTGAGCGCTGGATGAAGGCCTTGCCACACTCCCCACAAGCGTAGGGCTTCTCCCCAGTATGGGTGCGGTGGTGGATGGTCAGCTCTGAGCGCTGGATGAAGGCCTTGCCACACTCCCCACAAGCGTAGGGCTTCTCCCCCAGGTGGGTGCGCTGGTGAGTCAGTAAGTTGGAACTGACGCTGAAGCACTTGCCGCAGGTGTCGCAGCGGTATGGCTTCTCCCCGGTGTGCATGCGCTGATGGATGGTTAAATCCGACTTCTGGATGAAGCCCTTGCCACAGTCCCCGCAGGAGAAAGGTTTCTCCCCAGTGTGGATGCGCTGGTGCTTCATCAGGGCGGAGCGCTGGGCAAAAGCCTTCCCGCAGCACTCACACTTGTAGGGCTTCTCTACCGCAGGCCCCAGGGGCTGAGCTGGAAGTTTGCTCAGGCTCTTCCCACAGTCCAAGCAGTGGCTGCTGCGTGTGAGGCGCCCTTTGCCACCGTACAGCTGGTATTTCAGGGTCTGCTTGGCCCCACTGCTGAGGAGGAACCCTTTAACATGTTCAGGGCAGTGATGGGCAGCAGCGGCTGCCGCCTGGGCTTGATGAACTCGCTGGTGCCGGTCAAGATGGGAACTCACGGAGAAGCCCCGACCGCACTGAGCACAGGTATATGGGCGTTCCCCCGTGTGCACACGTTGGTGGCGCTCCAGGTCAGAACGCTGGATGAACCGCTTCCCACAGTCACTGCAAGGGAATGGGCGCTCCCCCGTGTGAATGCGCTGGTGCTGCGCCAGGTTGGAGCTGCGGCTGAACCGCTTCCCACAGGCGCTGCATGGGTAAGGGCGCTCCCCTGAATGGATCTTACGGTGCTTAGAGAGACCAGAGCGTTGTCCAAAACATTTCCCACAATCTGGACAGTTGTGAGTAGCTGGGACTAGCAGGGTCGCAGACGGCCGCTCCTGGTGGCCATGCTGGTGGGTGCGCCTGTGCCGGTCAAGGTGGGAGCTGACGGAGAAGCGCTTCCCACAGTCTTGGCAGACGTAAGGCCGCTCCCCTGTGTGCACACGCTGATGACGCTCCAGGTCAGATTTCTGGGTGAAAGCCTTGCCACAGGCTGTGCAGGGAAAGGGGCGTTCGCCTGTGTGCACACGCTGGTGCTGAACCAGGTTGGAACTGCGGTTGAACCGCTTGCCACAAGCCACACATAGATAGGGCTTCTCCCCAGTGTGGATCTTTTGATGTTTAGCCAGGATCGAGTGTTGCCGGAAGCAACGTCCACACTCAGCGCATTGGTGCGGCCTCTCTGGTGTGGGGATACTGTGGCCTCGACCACTACCATTCACGCTTTTCTTCCCACACTCCACACACACCCCAGGCTCTTCCAGATGCCTTTGGCTGTTGGAATTCTTCCCTTCCTGCTGATGCCTGAAAGAGTCTTGAGGAGGCGTTTGGTCCTCTGGGCCCTGTTGGCACTGACTGCTGCTGGCACCCCCCTCACCTGGGCTGGTACATCTCCTTGATGGCGGTGCCCCCTTCTCCAAGCTGTCTTCTGGCTGCACTTCTTCTTCATTCTCCTCAGCAGCTGAAATAGAAACAGAAAGATGAGAGGCAGCAGGACCAACTGAGTCCCAAATGATTATTCCAAAGCGTTCTCACACTGGTGTTCTCCAGGGCTTTGGGACCGGTCCTCCTATCAGCTCCAGTCCAGGGATACAAGAGCACGGCTGCAAAAATTCAGATGACCACTAGGCACAAGCAAAGATAATTTTCTGGGTCTCTTTGCTACAATCTAATGCAGTGTTTCTCAACCTTAGCAACTTAGCAATTCTGGGAGTTGAAGTTCCCATGTTTGAGAAACACTGCTGTAGATTAATAAGGAGCACATCTGATATTTCTTTTTAAAGAAAAAGAAGAGTTTTCAAACTTCACAGACATAAAACTAATTTTGAACATACAAAGTTTAACAAAATCTAAGAAACGAAAGGGCATTTAACAAGATTTCCAATAATGTACTGGAGAGGAGCTTATTTGCAAATCATTTTAATATGCATTATTTGTATACCTCACATAATTCAGTTTTTCTTAATATAGAACATTTTGTATTGTAGCTTGATTCCTTAGATCAATCAGAAAATATACTAGCCACCTCATCTTCTTCAGGATTTCTCTCAAAAATAGAAAAATGCTTGGAACACCATTATTTTTATTCCAAGAATTGCTGCCCTAACTCCCACCATCACACTCCACGTGTCTCATGGACACTGCTGGAAATATCTGTTCCCCTTGGTGTAATTGTTTATTTAGCAATAATCCATCCTCCACAAAATTAAAAGTTCAGAGTGAGGTAGTTCTATCAGTTCATACCTGGAACCATTAAATTGTCCAATTACATAATGGGTCCAAGAAAAGGGCAGGCAGTAGATGTGCTGGGGCCTTAACAAAGGTACGGGAAGTCCTCGACTTACAAACACAATTGGGCCTGGAACATCCATCACTAAGCGATGCAGTCATTAAGTGAGTTGCGCCTGATTTTACTATCTTTTTTTGCCACGATTGTTAAGTGAATCCTGCTTCCCGCATTGACTTTGCTTGTTGGAAACTGGCTGGGAAGGTCACAAATAGTGATCACGTGACCCTGGGATGCTGGAACTGACATAAATACGTGCCAGTTGCCAAGTGCCTGAATTTTGATCATGTGACTGCAGGGGCACTGCAATGGTCGTAAGTGCAAGGACTGGTTGTAAGTCAATTTTTTCAGCGCCATCATAACCTTGAATGGTCATTAAACAAATGGTCCTAAGTTGAAGACTATCTGTACTCAACAATCCAAACAATAGGGACAGCTGCAAGTAGCTTCTTACAAGGATGTGCACTAGGAACAAGCTATATGACTCACTTCATCCTCAGAGATTTGACTTCCAAAATCCCTGGGGAAGGAGCTGAACCCCAAAGAGATTCACATCACGGTAGCAAATCCGACATGCAATGTAACAACTGTGCCTCTCCTTGCAACCTGTGGCTTTCTAAGGGACGTTGGGCAGCAGTTCCAATCAGACAAGAAGTCCAACTGTCAACGGTGATGGGAACTGGAACCCAAGAACATCTGGGGGATAATGGATTGCCCACTCCTTCTCAAAAGCCAAGAACAGGTATAACATAGATGCATTACTTAGGTCCTTAGTATTTAGATAACTTAGATAACTGCATAGCTTCTAAGAACTGGATCTTGGATATTATAATTTCTTGGATCTAAGAACTGACTGTAGGAAATCCCTGATAAATATAGATAGTGACGGAGTAGACCCAGCCAGCACAAACAGAAAAGGCAGTGGCCTTCGCGGGCTTGAAGGCTTTCATCAAAATGATGAAAGTAGTATTGTGCCCTCACTTAAACAAGAGGAGCAGATGTTGCACAGACCTGCTCCTTTCCTCATCTGTCCCCCTTTGACCCTCTCTGTAGATGCTTCCGAAAAGGCATCCCCTGTTATTTTGCACAGTGTCATCCTCTTCATTCTCAGTGTCCTCACAGTTCCTGCAATGAGACCAGCCTACCTTCATCTTTGGGACTCTTGGGCACCTTCTTCCTTGCTTTGCGCTTCCCTTCCTGGCTCTGCTCTTTAACCAGCTCCCGCAGCATCTTCTCCACTTGGCTTCTGCCGGCCGTCTGCAGGATGAGGCCCAGCTGGCGACGGAGGTCAGAATTCAGCCCACTTTCGCTTGAGCTGGCTGCTGTAGACTCTTGCATCTGGGCCTGTTGTGCTTGGCTCTGTTCAGACTCCATGTCTGCACCACAGAAACACAATGGAAACAGAGAGTTCCTATGTAGCCTTGCCAATGATCTAGGTAGGAAAAAAATGCTTTAATGCCTTAATGGCTGCTTCATGTACAAAATCAGCCAGAAAGGTTTTTCACAGCATGGATATTATCTAGCTGTATACTACTAAAGCTCTCGTGTCTGTAACCTTCAACTGGGCAAAATGGTGCATCATAGGGCAACAATTTTTGAACTAAGGTACCTCAAATGGGCTAACTTACAGAATGTGTCCAAAATCTAGGACCCACGACTCCTGTGGGATTGAAATTTGGAAAATTTGTGGCTGCTTCAGCACTGCTGTGCTGCTGCAGTTAGCCCAGGTCACATGATCATCACGGGCGTATCCCCAACCTCTTTCCTGCCTCCCTCTGTCCTCTGTGCCCAATCGGCTGGCAGCAAAGCCTGATGGGCGAGCAGCAATTGGCTGCTTTGGAAATGAGGCAGAAATTTGAAACCTCTTAACAGCAGTGGGCATTGGGAAGGATGAGGGAGTGACTTGGATGCCTGTTGGCGAAGTAGGGCTGGTTGGGGTGCGCTGGTGGTCAATGGGTGAGCCCCCTTCCTCCCTCAAGGGAGGGGGCCCTTGAGAACATGCTGGATGGGGAGCAGGGCTGCAGTTTTCCTCACAGTCGCAGCTCCCTTTGTTCCACTTCCCCCAAGCAAAGTGGCAGGCAGTTCCGTGGGTTAGCCGAGGAGGAGGAGGTGGCTTCACCAGGGCCCTCCTGAGGGTTATGAGGGGAGGGCAAATGGCGCAACCCTATATTATATGTGGAAAAGAAGGAAGGAAGGAGGGAGGGGGAGGGTGGGTGATGTGGTGGACTGCAGCAGAGAGCAAGGCTATCAGGAAGGAGGGGTGCATTCCAGGAGGGGGGAGGAGGCAAGAGGCAACACAGTCCGCAGGGGGAGCGTGAGAAGAGAAGGAGGTTCAGGATAGCCACTCCCTAGAATCTCACAGGGTAAATCCACTAGTTGCTGTAGTATAGGTTGTTTGGCAAGATTCTGTCTATAAGGTGTAAGCAAATAAAGGAACTGTATTCAACTGGACTGTTTCTTCCTTGTTCTTGGGCTCAGCTGGAGAGAGGGAGGGAGGGAGGGAGGGAGGGAGGAAGATTTCTGACGCTCCCTGCCAGCTTCCCACAAGCAAAGTCAATGGGGCAGCAAATCATTAGTCGCTCACACTCCCACTGCTTTTTTGCCCTTGGTCATTCTCCTTCTCTGTTTAGGTAAAGAAATGTCTCTGAAACGATGACCCAACGGGTCACAGGTCATCTAGTTAGCATTGTTATTCTGGGCTTATGCTTTGGATATTAAGCTGCCTTATAAAGACACAGCTACAAAGGCTGGCTAAAAAGTTGGCAAACCTTATTCCCAAGTGTCACCCAAATGCAAGACCAGTAGGACATGGGGGGGGGGCACCCATCCACCTGCCCATCAAACGAGCACAGCCTCTTCCCACCTGACGTTCTCCAGATCTGTCAGACAACTCCAAAAATTCCTGCTATGGGTTGTGGGTGGATGAGAATTTTGGGTCTCAAGTTCAGAAAAGCTGTGCTGGCGTAACTGCTGCTGCGATCCACTAGCCTGGTGTTATTACTTTATTTAAGAGAATAAATAAACTACTATATACTACTTGCGTCTGTACACTGCCTTTCCTTCTACTGTAGATACAGTGTCCATGTGGCTGAGAACAGTAAAAATAAAATATAAAAAAGCAGCAACACCATAAATTACTACAAAGAAAAGCAGATGCAACAAGCTGTAGTATCCTAACAGCAATGCAGGCAGAGGTTTGCAGGTGATAGCTGTCCAGGGCATTCCAAAAAATATGACTGGAAAAGGAGTCCCTTTTCCATGGATAAAATCCAGAAATGGCCTTGACATGGGATAGTAACCTCAGGATCAAATCCAGCCTGCTCCAGCTGTTTCAGGCATGCCCTGGATAAATCCTAGGAGAAAGAGGAATCCAGGTTCCAGGGAGTTTGAGCATTTATTCAGAGACGGGGAGAGTCGTCCTCCGCCCTGCAGACTTACCACACCCCAGCCCTCTTCTTCTGTGGGACTCAGCAAAGGCAGTTATCCGAGGCCAACTGATTGCAATTTCCTCTGCTGCAGATGGGAGAAATGGAGGTTGTAGGTCAGAAGATGGCAAGGCACGCCACTTGTTGCATTGATCTCAAGGAACTCAAAAGGGTCAAACACGGGGGACTCCCTTCATTTTATGCCTACAATAATACATCTGTGATATTGGTTAGAGAGGAAGAGGGACTGGCCAGCGAGCCCCACGATCAAGTGGGAATTTTGAACCTCAGTGTCCCTGATTCTGGTCCAATGCCCTAATGATACCCTGCGTTAGTTCCATAACCATAAAGATACCACTTCAGAGCTATGTCAGTCCATAGGCTTTGCATGCAAGCAATCATGAGTTCAAGTCCTGGCAGCTCTAGTTAAAAGGAGTGGGTAACAAAAGACAGGAAGAACTTCCGAGATGCTCCAAAGTTATTGCAATGCAGAGTAAACAATATTAGGTTTAGATCAGAGGTAGGCAACCTTCAGCCCCAGGCAGAGGTATCCACAAGGGGTGTCATATATCAATCTATCAATTGATAGATCAGTGTTTCTCAACCTTGGCCACTTTAAAAAGAAATATCAGACGTGCTCCTTATTAGCCTAGAGCAGTGTTTCTCAACGTAGAATTCTGGGAGTTGAAGTGCACACATCTTAAAGTTCCCAAGGTTGAGAAACACTGTGATAGATGATGAAGATGAATTTTTAACATATGCTGTGTGAAGAGATAAATATCATCTACCAGATAGAACCCAGTAGCAATACTTACAGCTACAACATTTGTTAACAACATTATTTGGACCAGCAGCATTTTCAGCTTCTGAGAGACCTGAGATATTAGAACAACTTGTTAAATCCTTTAAAACTAAAAAACCTACTATTAGCTTTTATATATATTTGTTATCAATACATCAATTTGACATCCAGATATTAAGAGATGAGTGGAATACAGAATTAGAGGTTTCTATATTACCTAGACAACGAGAGAGTGTCTTAACTTCTATAGCAAGAGTGTCAATGGACCTTAAACTACAACTTATACAATAAAAAATACTATTTAGAATTTATTGGACTCCATTACGTTTGTATAGAAAAGGATGGTCTAAGACAGCATTTTGTTGGAGATGTAAAGGATAATGCTTCTTTAAATATATGTTTTTACAATGCTTACTAAGTTTTAGGAGAAAGTAGTGGACCATAAACATGACTGTGTGACAAAAGCTACAATTTTCAGAGGATAATTTTCTTTTGAATTACATACCTAGTACAGTACATGGAACTTGACAAGTGGACAATGTAAATGGATTCTCTGTGCCCTTACTATGGCCAAAAGACTGATATTGCGGCATTGGGAAGATAACATCTTCAGTGTTAGAATTAGCACTACCTAGTTACCTAGTTACCTAGTTACCTAGCCGGGTAATGAAACATTTGCAAGAAAACAACCAAACTCAGAGAACCGCAAGGACTCCACAGTTCAACCCTGAGCTACACATATTTGCTTCTATTGATATTGGAAAGAAACACACGCCCCCCTTTACTCAGTGGATTGAAGACCTGATCGCACTTGCCACCTATGAGCGGATTGCCTGTAGACGTAGACTTTGTATGGACAAGTATAATGAAATATGGGAGTCATTTATACAAAATACAGTAAAAAGCATGATAGTTATATAATTTTATTAGATAGTTATAGATATATGTATACCTGTATTCTATTTGCATTAGATAAATATATATAGAATTGTTATTGTTTATTGTTGTAACAACATATACTTTATACTTTCTTTTTTTATTGTTTTTCTGTTGCATTTTTTCACTTACTTTTAAGCATTTGTTATATAATTGTTTTTTTTATAATGTATGTATCTGTGTCTTTTGTTCCTTTTTGTTTTTCTCTTTTTTTAAATGATTGTAAAATAAAGGATAAATAAATAAATAAATAAATAAATAAATAAAAACAAGGAGTGTCACATAAGTTGAGATGCAACCACCAGCTTGACTTTTGTGACACCCCTGGCCCCAGCAACATATCTAGCTGTCAGGTTTCCCTTTTGCAGTCCTCAGAGTCTCTTCCAACCATGATTGCTGCCATTTTGGTGGGAAACAGGCATATCATAATTTAACAAAAACCAAGGAAACTCTCCCCCTCATAAACCAACTCTCACCCATTGTTCAGCATGGCCACACTGCATCCCTCAATCAACCCCCCCCCCCCCCC